TGTTCACCTGATCTGAACCCCATTGAGAACCTGCTTGGTCCATCACATCAAATGTAGGAATTTTACAAGGAGGAAAACAGTACACCTCTCTGAACAGTGTCTGGGAGGCTGTGGTTGCTGCTACTGCATAATGTTGATGGTAGACAGATCAAAACACTGGCCAGAATCCATGGATGGCAGGCTTTGAGGTGTCACTTGCAAGAAAGGTGGCTATATTGGTCACTGATTTGTTTTTGTTTGTTTTTAGATATCGAAAATGTATATTTGTGAATGTTGAGATGTTATATTGGTTTCACTGGTAATAATAAATAATTGAAATGGGTATATATTTGTTTTTTGTTAAGTTGCCTAATAATTATGCACAGTAATAGTCACCTACACACAGATATCCCCCTAACATAGCTAAAACTAAAAACAAACTAAAAACTACTTCCAAAAATATTCAGCTTTGATATTAATGAGTTTTTTGGGTTCATTGAGAACATGGTTGTTGTTCAATAATAAAATTAATCCTCAAAAATACAACTTGCCTAATAATTCTGCACTCCCTGTATAATTATGGACCTCACCCAATTGTCTGGGATCTCTGCCCAAACCCTTCGGATATGCATAAGTCTTCCTCCTACCAAAGGTGTTTGGGCGTAGTAACCTTCAGAACTGTTTGGAAGGACGAAAGGAAGAGGTGTTAGTCTTTCCTCTGGTGGACTTGCTGGTTTGACCACTTCTCCAGGTGGTAGGTCTGTAGTATTCACGCCCTGGCCTATAAGCCTTACTATCTCTATAGGAAGGGTGTTCCCTATAAGAACGACGTTCAAGTGGAGGTCTTCTTGGACGTCTATCTTGCGGAAGCAGAATTTGCTTGACATCCAGTGCCCTCTTAATGGCTTCTTCAAGGGGTTTCCCAAACAATATTTCACCCAAAAAAGGAAGTGAACATTAGTTATGCTTTGAGGCCATATCAGCCCCCCATGATCTGAGCCATAGGGCACGTCTGGCTGCAACCGAGAAAGCCAAAACCTTAATCATATACGTAGAGGCTTCTAAGAGCCATTCACTGGCTAGTCCAACCTCCCGTAGGGAATCTGCAATATGTTGCCTTCTGACACCTTTGTCCAAATCCTCTTCTATGTCCAGGATCCACACTCTCATTGCTCAGGACAAGTCCAAAGCCTGGAGTCCTCCTCACATATGGGGTATAACTTAGGCAGATGGTTTCGCAGAGAAAGTCTCTTTTCTGGAGTCTTCCATTCGTTACTTAGAAGATCCTTAATGGACTTATGTACCGGAAATGAAGGTTTCCTTTTACTGAGATCCCCAAAGTGTTTGTCCGCTGCTGAGGCTTCTAGTACCTCATCAGTGTTCTTCTCACCAAATAGATCAAATGCTTTATTGCTTTAGAGTCTAGGTGGCAGGGGTATTCCTCATCGCTAGAAGACATATGTTCCAGGTCCAGGGAACCCGAATCCTGTCCGAAGTCTTCGTCTGAAGAATCGTGATTCACCTGGGGATATTCACATCTAGGACGCTTGCCTTTGTATGATTCAGCAATGCCTTCTGCCATTGCCTGCTTAATCCACAAGGCTATATCCTAGGCTGAGGTGAATGCTGCTGGAATTCAGATTCTCCTACAAATAGAGTTAAACATTTCTTACATAGCTTGCAGTTGTCCAAGGATCTGGAGCCTAAAGCTGCCGGTTTATCCCTTCTCCTGGAAGGAGAAATAGGGCCTGTCCGGTCTTGAGGGCTGAAATTACAGAAGCCTAGTGACTGTACCCTCTAGTGCACTCTTTTTATTAGGAGAATGGTGGAGAAAAAATACAAAAATTAATGCTCACCTATGACCTATAGTCGCTGATTTAGCTGAAGTGGGAGAGTGATCCATCATAGAAAACACAAATTCAGGCTGAAAAAAAAAATGTTTCTAATAAAGAAAACTTTTTTTAACAGAAAAAAACCTAATTATACTAAAAGGTATCCTAAAAGGGAAAAAAAATTGAATACCTGCAGAGTGAGGGAGCGTAATTCCCAGAGAGCAGCTTACACCTTCTTTAAGGATTTGAATTTCGCGGCAGAAAAAAAATGCACTTTTCCCCTTTAAATAGAAATAATGCGCTGTTTCTTTAATCGCGCATGCCCGGGACCGCCATTTTTATTACTGGCGAACATAGGGCTACTCGCGTCCTCTTACCTTTGCGCATGTGTGGACGTCCTGAGCCTCCGAACTGGAAATCTGGGCCAGAATATGAAGTTTCACCTGCAGGGACAGGCATTGCAGCAGATCTCAACAGGATGCCGGAGGAACACTAGAAGTGGGTTGCATGTACCTGGTCTTCCTACAGAGGAAGGCTGACCTCTTAGGGAATAAAAGGCTGAAAGACATAGCCAGGTGAGCATAAAACAAAGTATTTTGTAATAAATACAAGCTGTCCTGTCTGGCTAGGAGGACAGGAAAAAAAGACTGAGGAACCTAGTATTCTGGGATCTCTTATACCTCAGGGATAATTGAATTCTTTAATTGGCATTCCTGTCCTATTGGCTGGAGGGAGGAGCTAACCCATATGTTAAATGCTGCCATGTTTAGCCAGGAAATATATATATGATTAAACTTTCCTATTGACTACCACAACATGGTAGTGGTTATGGTGATCTAAGCACCATAACCACTACAGTGCATTTTGTTGATTATGGTGGTTCTGGTGTGTATAATATGTCCTTGCAGGAATTTTAATGTAAACACTGCCTTTTCAGAGAAAAGGTAGTGTTTACATTTCTCAAGTTTTAAAACTAAGGATTGACTAATATTGAAGGGGCTTGAAATGTGTCATGTGCTTGAGACTTACAACTTATCCAGCAATGTATATATCCAAATACACATCATTGCAAACTAGATGTGTATTCAAATATATTCATTGAAGGCTTTTGTATTTATCTAGCTACAATAACTAACCTTATCCAGGACAATAGAGAGCAAAAAATGGGTCGCAAGAGTATTCTGAGAACGGACAGCAGCTAAAATAGCCTGCCCTTCGGTGGGTCCCCGCTCAGAACTCAAGCTGGTTTTAGCTCAACTTGTGCCATTACAGAGAGAATATATCTGAAGCATATCAGACTGGTCCCACCCATACGGGCAGTCCAGATCCGAAATGCCAGCAAGTTCTCTCTGCATGAGACAATAAATCAGGACAATAAATCTATGGATGCATTTCTAAGACATGCACTGATAGACAAATTCTCTGGCTTATTAAATACACAATCCCTGTTCAATATTTATCAAATATTGGGTTTCGATCTGAGTGCTACTGCTGTCAGCAGAATCTAGTAATATATAATATATATATATTGGAACTCGGCAACAGAATTTCAAACAATCCACAGTGTTGGTTATAATTAACTCATTTACTTAACAATCCGGAAAACAAACCATGCAAATTACAGCACAATAACCCCCAACATTAAAACATACACTTATAACATATCTTTACTTCCAATTTACAAATATATCTCATAATGATTTTATATATATATATATATATATATATATATAGTCTCCTCTCGTTTCTCCCCTTTCTTTTACTACTGACCCAAAAGACTCCCTAGATATAATACTGACTTTCATTTGATTACCTGGGGCCATTCTCAATGGTTGGAGTTTGCATTTGCTATCTCCTTCCTGGCCTGTGGCTACCCAAGACACACCTATAATTTTCCTGGGGTCTTTCTCATATGTACCTGAATACAATTAAAGATAGTTGTCCTGATATGACACTCTGTAGTCTCAGTTTACTCTCAACACACCTTCCATTGTCCCTTGGGATTGTGTGGACACAATAGTTATACAACCTTCTGTCTTGATATGCATTTGTTTATGGCTGTCCATCCCATACACAAATACCTGTATCTCTAATCATACATACTCACAAATTTTGATATATTAATTTCCATCCATACACATAAAGACAAGAGATTTTATACAATAACTAAGGTTTGCGACTTTCCATAGAGTAACACCTCTGATGTAAACACTGCCTTTTCAGTGTTTAGCATCTCCATGCTCTGAACGTTCCTCTTAGTGATGCATTGATTCAATAGATCTCTGAGAAGATGCTGTTTAGCACAGCATTTGCCGTGCAAGCACTATAGCCTCAGCCAAGGGGGCAGAGCCAGCCATGAGGAGACCCGCGTAGGGCCAGAAAAGGGTGAATAAAATCACATTTTACTTTTATGACGGGGGGGCGGGTCACCTAAATTGTGGTTTTAGAAGTATAGTGTCAGGAATAAAAATAGTCTTCTTTTAAGGTCCTCATAGTCAGGTATGTTTCCACATCTACGTTGGCCTTAAATTTGACCATTTTCACTTTACTGAATATCCTGTTAAAGATCCCTCCTTGAAAAATTAATACATTTCTATTTTGCATCATTCTGATTCCATATAATGCAGCTACACGTGCTTTCAGGAAATACTATTCCTCAGAGTAAGGAAGAAACCGTTTTTAAATATACATACAAATAAAATGTGAATGTGTGTTATGGGGTAATTGAAGAGATTCAAACGTACAGGAAAACCTTTTTTTATGCTTTTGGTAACTTACAACAAATTTTAGACAATTAGAAAATGGTCAAGCCCATAATTTATGTTGTGTGCATGCTGAAGTAGAATGATGTGAGAGATTACAAATCTACGGTGCTCATTGACTGTGACCTCCAATAAAACTGTAAAAAAGCTATAGGTCCAGTGGATACCTATTCCCTGGCAACACATATTTACTATATCAAACTGTTAGTTTTTCAACAATCTTACCAACAACATTGTAAAAAAACATAATAGGAGTAGGGTAATGGTCATCTCCCAGTTATTTTGTGGTTAAGTCTTAAATATAAGGTGAAAATTGTTAAATTTTCTTTTTAGATTATAATAATAATAATAATAATAATAAAGATTCCAGATATTCACCAAAATATCTTCAATGTGTTTCAGCCCGTTCTGAAAAATATCATCATATGGAAACTGAAGAGGAAGATGATACAAATGATGAGGACTTCAGTATGGAAATTAGGCAGTTTTCTTCTTCCTCCCATCGCTTTTCAAAGGTCAATTAATTATCTTTCTTGCAAACAATACCAGTTAGTTTTTGTTGATCTTTTCAGTCATAATTTAAAATTCTCTCTTAAATCTGATAATCTACTTTTTTTTTTTTTTTTTTATTCCTTCTAACTATTATGCATTACAAAAGAAAATCATTGCATTTGGTCAGAAAAACCCACATTCATTGCAATACAAAATCTGATTTTTCATCTATAGGTGTTTAGTAGCATTGATCAATTAATGCAAAGCAAAGTAGAAGAAAAGGATGATCCAGAAGAAAAATCAAAGAACCTGAATTTACCACCAGTGGAATCACTAAGCTGGAGCTCTGAATATTCTGAAATGTGAGTAAATAGTCTCAATAACACAGCACCATGTGTCACAAACGCACCCTACTTCAGTGGTGTGCGTGATGTAGTTGTGATGGTGAAATGGTTAAAGTTCACTATTTGTCTGCACTAGACCAGAAATAATGATAAAATCCCACTTAACACCACCCACACTTAACCATAATATAAATATTACTATTTTAATGCTGTCACCACCAAGACAATTTATTAATGGGGTGCCTTGGTCCCCCAGGTAACTTAATAATAAAACCCCACCAAATACAACTTAGCACAATATCTATGTAATTGAAAAACACTAAGTAGTCTCTTCAGGTAATTTGATTCTTTAACAGGCAATGGCAGAACTTATTGAAAGGAATATTTATTATGAGCAAAAAATAGTCACAGTGCATACAAAAATATAGATGACAATCAAATTACACCAACAACAGATAAAAACAAAAGGGATAAAATAATAACAGAAGTCCTAATCACTTAGTCAGGTTTCCAAAGTAAAACTTCTGCCCGGGGGGGTGGTCTCTGGTAAGGTTGATGGTGACTCACTCAGAATTAGCTTCTGGTCTCCAAGCAAGTACAATACACAATTCCATATCATTAGATATATACCCTGTGGATTACCAAGTCTGGCCCAAAGGTGTAGATAAGGCATACCTATAGAGACAATAAGTGACCACCCCCTTGTGTTCCAGACCAACATCAATCCAAATAGAAATAATGGTGTTTATTAATTTATCATTTTTTTTACCATTAATTTACCATTCAATAGATATGTCACATTACTTGTGACCCAATATAGCGGACATCACATTCCCTTCCCCTATGGTTAATTTACGCAAATTACGTTTGGGCTTGATTAGAAGAGTGTGCTTGTCCCATTCTAAATAAAATAACAAATTAAACTTAATTATTAGTCTGTGGGTAAGTATTAATGTGTCTTTTGGATATGATACTGGAACACAAGGTTAATTGGCATTAACATATCAAAAGACCCCCTATCTAAGAGGGAATATAGACATTTGGCAAATTAGAGAGTTAATGTATATTTAAACCAGACTTCCAGGCCACTTAAGAGTGACTTCTCACACCTTGTAGAGTCTTTGATTAATTGAAGGATCAATCCATATGGTAAACCACCTGACCCCTTTCACATTTCTATGCAATTTACATTATGCCTCTGTCATTTGTAACCAAGTGGCCAATTCATATATGCACTACACAAATTGCAATAAATGGCAATATTTTATTGTGCAACAATGAATTATGCACCCTTGGCGTGACACCGTGCAGCAAGCTCTGTAACTGTCACTGCTTT